GAGGGCTATGCGACCCCCAAAGAAATGCCACCCCACATCATTACTGACCCACTGCCAAACCGGTCATGCTGGAGGATGTTGCAGGCAGCAGAACGTTCTCCACGGCGTCGCCAGACTCTGTCACATGTGCTCAGTGTGAACCTGCTTTCATCTGTGAAGAGCACAGGACACCAGTGGTGAATTTGCCAATCTTGGTGTTCTCTGGCAAATGCCAAATGTCCTGCACAGTGTTGGGCTGTAAGCACAACCCCCACTTGTGGATGTCGGTCCCTCCTACCACCCTCATGGAGTCTGTTTCTGACCATTTGAGGAGACACATGCACATTTGTGGTCTGCTGGAGGTCATTTTGCAGGGCTGTGGCAGTGCTCCTCCTGTTCCTCCTTGCACAAAGGCAGAGGTAGCGGTCCTGCTGCTGAGTTGTTGCCCTCCCACGGCCTCCTCCTCGTCTTCTGATGTACTGGCCTGTCTCCTGGTAGCGCTTCCATACTCTGGACACTACCCTGACAGACACAGCAAACCTTCTTGCCACAGCTCGCATTGATGTACCATCCTGGATGAGCTGCACTACCTGAGCCACTTGTGTGGGTTGTAGACTCTGTCTCATGCTACCACTAGAGTGAAAGCACAGTCAGCATTCAAAAGTGACCAAAACATCAGCCAGGAAGCATAGGAACTGAGAAGTGGTCTGTGGTCACCACCTGCAGAACCACTTCTTTATTGGGGGTGTCTTGCTAATTGCCTATCATTTCCACCTGTTGTCTAGCCCATTTGCACAACAGCATGTAAAATTGATTGCCACTCAGTGTTGCTTCCTAAGTGGACAGTTCGAATTCACAGAAGTGTGATTGACTTGGAGTTACATTGTGTTGTTTAAGTGTGCCCTTTATATTTTTGAGCAGTGTATATACAGGGAGTGCAGAATTATTAGGCAAGTTGTATTTTTGAGGATTAATTTTATTATTGAACAACAGCCATGTTCTCAATGAACCCAAAAAACTCATTAATATCAAAGCTGAATATTTTTGGAAGTAGTTTTTAGTTTGTTTTTAGTTTTAGCTATGTTGGGGGGATATCTGTGTGTGCAGGTGACTATTACTGTGCATAATTATTAGGCAACTTAACAAAAAACAAATATATACCCATTTCAATTATTTATTATTACCAGTGAAACCAATATAACATCTCAACATTCACAAATATACATTTCTGACATTCAAAAACAAAACAAAAACAAATCAGTGACCAATATAGCCACCTTTCTTTGCAAGGACACTCAAAAGCCTGCCATCCATGGATTCTATCAGTGTTTTGATCTGTTCACCATCAACATTGCGTGCAGCAGCAACCACAACCTCCCAGACACTGTTCAGAGAGGTGTACTGTTTTCCCTCCTTGTAAATCTCACATTTGATGATGGACCACAGGTTCTCAATGGGGTTCAGATCAGGTGAACAAGGAGGCCATGTCATTAGATTTTCTTCTTTTATACCCTTTCTTGCCAGCCGCGCTGTGGAGTACTTGGACGCGTGTGATGGAGCATTGTCCTGCATGAAAATCATGTTTTTCTTGAAGGATGCAGACTTCTTCCTGTACCACTGCTTGAAGAAGGTGTCTTCCAGGAACTGGCAGTAGGACTGGGAGTTGAGCTTGACTCCATCCTCAACACGAAAAGGCCCCACAAGCTCATCTTTGATGATGCCAGCCCAAACCAGTACTCCACCTCCACCTTGCTGGCGTCTGAGTCGGACTGGAGCTCTCTGCCCTTTACCAATCCAGCCACGGCCCATCCATCTGGCCCATCAAGACTCACTCTCATTTCATCAGTCCTTAAAACCTTAGAAAAATCAGTCTTGAGATATTTCTTGGCCCAGTCTTGACGTTTCAGCTTGTGTGTCTTGTTCAGTGGTGGTCGTCTTTCAGCCTTTCTTACCTTGGCCATGTCTCTGAGTATTGCACACCTTGTGCTTTTGGGCACTCCAGTGATGTTGCAGCTCTGAAATATGGCCAAACTGGTGGCAAGTGGCATCGTGGCAGCTGCACGCTTGACTTTTCTCAGTTCATGGGCAGTTATTTTGCGCCTTGGTTTTTCCACACGCTTCTTGCGACCCTGTTGACTATTTTGAATGAAACGCTTGATTGTTCGATGATCACGCTTCAGAAGCTTTGCAATTTTAAGAGTGCTGCATCCCTCTGCAAGATATCTCACTATTTTTGACTTTTCTGAGCCTGTCAAGTCCTTCTTTTGACCCATTTTGCCAAAGGAAAGGAAGTTGCCTAATAATTATGCACACCTGATATAGGGTGTTGATGTCATTAGACCACACCCCTTCTCATTACAGAGATGCACATCACCTAATATGCTTAATTGGTAGTAGGCTTTCGAGCCTATACAGCTTGGAGTAAGACAACATGCATAAAGAGTATGATGTGGTCAAAATACTCATTTGCCTAATAATTCTGCACTCCCTGTATATCTTTTCTGCTTCTTTTTTATGTATGTGAGATCATATTACCCCACACTTGTATAGGGGTAAGTTGAATTATTAGCATTATTTCTAAGCGCTGCACTCGCACTTTGATGTTATTGGGTGGCAGTCAATCACCTAAACAATATTTGTTTTTATCTCAATATTACAGTATTTATATTTTCGAAAGCTCTGTATGTCTGTCGGCCTGGCTGTCTGTATGTCTGTCATTAAGAAATTAAATAGAAAATAGTGAATTTAGATTTATTAAAAAAAAAGATCCCTGAAAGCATTGACACTAAAGGGGCAGTATGGAGGCATGTCAGACAGGGCATGGTCCCTGAGCCGCTACCCTATTTAAACACTGAACAGCTGAGATGTCTGTGCTGTCTTCAGTGAATACTTGGCTACCTCCTGCTTATTTACCTGGATATCTGACAATTGGCTTGTCTTATTGCTCCTGAACTGCCTGGATTTCTGACCTTCAGACTGTATTAAGTTTGCTTTTATCCAGCCCTCTCTGGATTGTTGACCTTGGATCTTATTATGTTTTCAATATATCACAGTAAATACTGCACTGTGGGTTTCAGTCACAATTTTTCTTGACTTAACATCTGGGCCCATATGGAACCTGCAGATTTAGCAGTGGCTATTCAAGCCGTGACTAGACTAATGGGAGTGCTCAGTCAAATCATGCAGGGTTTGTAGTAGGGGAAAGTACAACTCCATGTCACTCCCCCATATGGTGCTACATTTATAAAACCTGTTCCTCCCCATGCACCTAAAAATGTCATGCACATGCCAGAACATCTCACAGGTAACTGCAGTTTATAGAGGGGATTTATGATGGATTGTTAACTAATGTTTACAGTGAAAACACAAACCTATGCCAGTGATTACATCAAAGTTAGAACCATGACTTTTCTGTTGGCTGGTAAGCAACAAACATGGGCTCATCAACTGCTCCAGACAAAAAATCTAGTCCTTAACTCTTGGGACACATTTTCTACTGCCCTCTTTGGTCTTTAACTACTTTGTCTCTGCCAAGATGCCATTCGAGGCCTGATGTGAAGCAATTAATCTGCAGCCTCCATATAGGATTTCCATATGTAAAAATGATTCACTGTTTATACTTATGCTTATGTTGACAATAAGCGTAGATCCAAACCCACCTACCAAGTTGAACAGAAGACAAGGCTATCCATCAAACACTTGAAACTGTCCTGGCCTAGCCTAAAGTTAGGACCAAATAATAGAGTGTTGCTATTCTCTCTCCCATGACTGTACGGTTACAACTGCATCCCTCTTAATGAATCCACCCAGTGTCTCCTTACTGAAACCCTATGTGGACAATCGCTTCTCGAATTACATCCTTCCTCTCCAGGTAATATCCAAGTCAATGGTGAGGAAGATTCCAAAATCACAGATCTTGGATTCCCATATCTGTCATGAGCGCTTTGAGTATCTCATCCTCTGGAAAGTCTATGGTCCAGAAGTACAGTCCTAGGAGCCTGCTTCTAATGTATACACCACTAATCATGTTTAAACATTCTATGGTGACTATCCAATTGACTCTCACACCTACACCTTTAGAAGATGTGTTTTTGAAGGGTTGTATCGCCACTTATTTCTGCTCCCTTGCTTCTCCACTGGCACCTTCAAGCTACCTGAATGCACTTGTGATGACATGGGCCGAACCATGCTCTGGCATGATACAACTTACGTCTCCCAGGTAACACAAGATGCCATGGAGTCATGCATGCTTGGAAAATGCCATGGGACAGCCCACTGGGTGGACTAATGACAAAGCACTGCATCCCAAATTCCCTGGAAACCCCAAGCTCCTTGACAGCCTCCATTCTAAATGGGCAATACAGAGGCATATCAGAGAAGGTGTGGATCCTAATAGGCACCCTATTTCAAAACTGAATGGTTGAGCTATTATTGCTCATTTGTTCTGTGCTGTCTTCAGCAAACACATGGCTGCCTACTGTTTATTTACCAGGATACCTGGCCATTGGTGCCTGAATTTCTGACCTTCAGACTGTCTTGATCTTGCTTTTGTCTAGCCCTTTCTGGATTGTTTGCCTTGGACATTATTACATTTCCAATATACCTAAGTGAGTACTGCATTCTGGGTTTCAGTGAAACATTTTCACACACATATATATATATATATATATATATATATATAGTTCAAGTAGAGATGTAGATGTATAAAATTTGTATCTTGTAATACCTTTTTATTGGACTAAAATATTTTTTTTTCTCCCCAAAGCTTGTCATTAAAAAATTATGTTAGTCCAATAAAAGAGGTATTACAAGATACAAATGTTATACATATATATATATATCTATATATATATATATATATATATATATAGATATATATATATATATCTATATATATATATATATCTATATATATATATATATATATATATATAGATATATATATGTTAAGGATTTGCCTGGAGTTGTGGGAGAGGCTTGTTTTACCTATAAAAGGGACTCCCCCCTTTCCTACCCTACTATCAATGGTCTGGCGATCTGCATGCTGCTACTTCTGGTGCATGCAGACTGCAATCTTCCAAACTTACATGTCCATGTTGAACTGCTGCTGTCCCCTGCTCTGCTGTTGACTTCTGTGTCCTGCTCTGTGATTTGTCCATCCCAGGATCTCCCATTGCAGGCTCTGGTGCTGCTGTTGCTCCTGCATCAATCTTCCATGAGGCAAACTGACCCAGAAGCACCTGCTGTCCTTCGACCCTGTGGACAGGGAGTCGTGCCGGTGCTTTCCCAGCGTCATCGTGCCGGCGCTTTCCCAGCGTCATCACGGCTTGATTCTATTCACTTTTTGTTCATTAGTTTTATTTAATTGTGTTCATTTTAATTTGTGGGTTTTAAACCATTCGAATGCTATCCTCAGGTTCCTTTCGTGGAAAGCTTTTTAGCTATACTCCTGCATGAATACTATCCTTTTGGCTCTTTCCATACGAATGGCTTCTTAGGCTTAGACGCATGTTCGCATGATTCAAGCAAAAGGTTTCATATTAGGTTATGCAGCCATGAAAGCTCTATGGCCTTTTAATGTACACATTTTTGGCAAGACATTCGTTCATTTGAAAAAACTAATCCCCCGCGAGGGTCACAAGTTCTGACTTAGTATGAATAACGTACGTTCGCGACTTTTTTCATACGAACACCTGTCATAGTTCTCCCTATACAATACTAATCACTTTCATATTTTGCACAAACAGTATAGGTAGATCTTTGGCTTGTGGTCTTCTAGTGCTCAATTCCTATTACTACAGTATGTCTCCTTGTATGAGATTGCTATTTTTCTTTTCTTTCCATTATCTACATTCAAACAGGTTAAAGTGCTTATTGCAGGATATGATCAAATGATAAATATTTATGCTCTTTATACGTATATTTTCCTATTTTATTAATATGTATATTGTCATTGATTTTCAGGTCTTTTTCTTGTGACTGTATGATACTCCTCTGTTAAAAGATCGTCAGGTTACGGTTTCTTGCTAGTGGGTCATTTAATGGTTCTAAAGTGTTCTACTGCATGGTGCATTGTTTAACACCCCATTAGGTCAAGGGATAAATGTGGTAGTGGGTTTTATTGGGTAAACACTATCCCATACATATGTGTATTTCTGCACTCTCTGCAGGCCAGCTTATAAACCATACCTAATACGTTTTATTAAATCACATTCTATTACGGATTACGGGGTTATCAATTTTCAGAGCAGCATTTGCTCTTCATACCTCTATTCCAATTTCAGTAGGTAGGTGCTTTTGGTATGTAGGGGTAATATGTTTTAGGAGTTCCTTAGCTTTACATGCTTAATAATACGTCCTTTCTATTATCTAAAGTATTCTACTGCACGGTGCATTGTTTAACACCCCATTAGGTCAAGGGATAAATGTGGTAGTGGGTTTTATTGGGTAAACACTATCCCATACATATGTGTATTTCTGCACTCTCTGCAGGCCAGCTTATAAACCATACCTAATTCGTTTTATTAAATTACATTGAATTACAGATTACGGGGTTATCAATTTTCAGAGCAGCATTTGCTCTTCATGCCTCTATTCCAATTTCAATAGGTAGGTACTTTTGGTATGTAGGGGTAATACGTTTTAGGAGTTCCTTAGCTTTACATGCTTAATAATACGTCCTTGCTATTATTAGGTAATAGAATAGACCTCTTCTTACCCTCTCAGCCTCCTTTAGTTGGAACCACAGATTTTAGTTACGGGTAAGTATATATTAAAAATAAATAAATAAATAAATAAATAAAACATTCTTGTATCCTCCCTACAACTTGTCTCATTCCTTCTATTAGTTTACAACCATACTATACAGAACCTACACAAGTACTATGTTCGACTCCAGGTACATTATTAGCCATGTTGGCTCCCCCGCAATACATATCATTAGTTAGTATGTTTTACTAGCTTATAGAGATCTAGGTGGCCAATAGTAGTTAAACGTCTGGCGTGTCTGCCTTAGAGTGTACCCGCGAGGCCAACACACATCCTCCATGCAGAGGTAATATGCCCCTCAGGCCAACGCATAGTTAGTTGCCTCACACAGTTGCATAGAGAGGGCCTCACTTTTCATGCCCAATCTGTCTTATGCTTTAAAAGGTCACCAAGAGTCCAACACCCCGCCACAACATTCGGTGGCCACAGATCTCCTTGTGCCAATGCATAGATAAAGCCTTTCAAGCTGCTTGGCAACTGTAACAAACTTAGCATATTGCTTCAACACTTGGCTCTAGCTAACCAGCCAGTAAAATGGTTCTGATACAAACTAATTATTGCTATGTTTTCAATATGTCCCAGATTCCCGAAGAAGGTGATGACATGTCAATTCCCAGTACTCCAGCCATTTCCACTACACCTAAACGTACAGGTGATACTATTAGGCCTGCTTCCATCAGGTAATGGACCATTCCTCGTATGACAGCTGAACTATGCAGGTGCAACATGCCTTTCCCAGCAACGGCCAGGAAAGCGGAGCTGTTCAGGCTCATGCGTACTAACACAGACAATGCAGGGCACGAGTAGCTCAAACAACACCAATCTCCACACAATGATATCATCACTCGTGTCCTCTGTGGGAAAGATTAATTAAAGACTGGAAAGATTAGAAGCACGTAGTCTAACCATACCATCAACAGGGCCCCCTGCTACTGAGCTACCAGGCCCTTCTCAGACACAATCTGGTAATAGTTTATAAGCAGGGTCGGGTTCTCATGTTATTAACCCAGCCTACATGGTGCCAGAAAATCTCAAAAAACATATCCTGATGGGCAAAGACATTAATCTAGTCTCTCTTTTGATTGCCTTCGAGGATATTGTTGAGTATCGCACTTACAAATTTTCGTTAATAGCCCACGGTCCCTAGGAAAGCCTGCGTCTTGGTACGGTGCTGGGGCCAGTTGTACTAAATCCAGGGACCTGAGACTGAGCAAGAAATTGTTTATCCTGGATTTTGTATTGGCATTTGGGATTTACAGAGATGTTATATGTTCAGTTTACCCACACAGGAGAGAGGAACTGGATTTCTACATGGACAAGCTGGTGGACTTAGGTAATAAATACGGTGGTACAGCATTTTATGACTACCACCGGTTCTTTTCAGTGAAGGCGTCTGCAGCTCTTGCCCAGTTTAATTTTATAACAGATTGGAGTCAACTGGACACATAGCTTTTTTGCAGACACTTCGCTGGACTGAGGACAACAGCTTGCGCAATTTGCGCGTCCACTTCACACTACTCTAACCTATGTCCAATCTCACCTGACATCTCACCTAACCTGGCTACCCCTAGCACCAAAGCAAAGAATAACAAACCAGTCAGGGATTTACTAGGACATCCATTTGTGTACTTGGCAAAATCACAAAAATGTAACAACTTCAACAAAGGTACTTGTGGATATAGCTTATTGCATGTTTGTTCCCACTGCTACAGAGCACATGCAAAATCTATGTGCCCCAATAAAATACATTCTAAACCTTATTTGACCTTTGTAAATGTTGGTTCTCTAGTTAGCCTTCTATCCACCCACCCACCCTATCAAACACCTGGTTAATTGTTTAATAGCAGGTTTCACTCAAGGTTTCCATACAGGCATTATTCACATGCCAACAGGACCCATAGAATGCAACAGCCTACAATCTGCTATAGCAAATACAGAGATAGTAAATTTACTGATATAGCACAAATTGGATCAAGGGTTTTTATTGAGGCCTTTTCAGAAACCTCCATTTTCTAGTTGGAGTACAAACCCAATTGGCATAGTTACCGGGAAAAACTCTTCAAAGCAAAGACTAATTATAGACCACTCTGCGCCACACTCCTCAGCAGCCCCTAGTCGTGTCTCCTTAATTCCCTCAGAGACATTTTTGCTACAGTACACAAAGAAAGAATATGCCATAGATGCTACCATTACAGCAGGGATAGGGGCATTTCTCAGTAAAACTGACATAATTAATGCCTTTAAATTACTGCCCATCCACCCATTTGTATGGCACCTGCACAGTATTAAATGTAAAGGCCAGTATTATTTTTTTCACAAGACTTACTTTTGGATCAAAAAGCAGCCCAAAAATATTCAACACATTTGCAGAGACCTTGTGCTGGCTGTTACTTAATACATGCTGCTGCCACACAGTAATCCATTATTTAGAGGATTTTCTATCAAGAACAAAACTTCCACCCAAGTAATTTAAATAAAGCAATACAATTATTCCACATATTAGGGGTACCAGTCTCTCCCAAAAAAACAGAAGTCCTGACACTATTATTAATTTCCTTGGCATTCACCTAGACTCTGCGGCTATGGAAGACAGCCTCCCGCAAGATAAAGTCAATAACATTCTTAAAAGTATCAACCAATATATTCAAATTGGTTCCTGTAACCGTAAGGAGTTACAATCTCTTCTAGGCTCCCTTAATTTTGTGATGAGAATCATCCCACAAGGTAGAGCCTTCATATCTAAACTCTTTAGCTTACTCCCTGAATTTCCCAATGAAATCAGTCATAGCTTGCTAAACAACCATACTTCCACTGACCTTCTCATGTGGCACCAATTTCTTTTAAATTGGAACAGGAAGAGTATGTTTCTTACGCGATTATCTGTACATTCCCCCATCATCTGGACAGATGCAGCAGCTACCACCGGGTTCGCAGCCATATTCAGTAATAATTTGCTCTGGGGTAGTTGGCCAGAGGAGGTTCTAAGCATAGAAGGGTTCTCTCTCAACTTTTGTTATTTGAAGTATACCCAATAGTAGTTGTTGCAGTAGCTTGGGGCCATTTATGGGCCAGCTGTTCATCTTCATTAACTATAATGAGATTTATTAGAAGACTAACTTGGTTAGCAGCCTGTAAACAATTGTACTTAGTGAGATGAGACCAATCTCACCACTGTGCATTGGAGGAGCCTGGTTGCCCGCCTGCTGCCTTTAGACTATGGCCACATGTTGAAACGCTTGATTTTCCCCTGCGAAGACACGAAAGCCGGGTCATTCGGTGCTGGCCCTGTTTGAGCGGTGATACCCCAGATAGCTATGCCATGGAGCCCATTCGTATAATAAAAGACTATGGGAAAGACTTTGGCTCCATGGCAATTGAACTGTATGTGTGTCCTCTGAGCACCATTCAGTAATAATGTGCGCTCAGATCTGAGCTATCTGGGGATATGTTGAATGTACCTGTTTTGTGCAATGGCTGCACAGTTATATATTTGTATTTGTTTTATTGTCTTTTGCTGCCATGTGTTCAATGGAGATTTGCCTCTGTCCTTGGA